GTGTTCACTGGAGTAGCACTGTTACTGTAATTTCCTTCAAGAACTTTCTTTGCATTCGCACTTGGCTCTTTGGTGCAAGAGGCCTAGCTTTTGGCCTGGCTCAGCTTTCAACACGCCTTCCGCACTGGGCTCAGCCACTTCTAGCTTTTGATTAAAGTGAGAGACCTGCAACTCCTCCTTTCCCTCGAGCACTTAAAGCTAAAGGTGAAGTCAGTGGTGTTGGGTTAAGATTGTTGTTTTGGAGACACAGTTGTTCTTCTGTCCCGTCTTCCCACTCCACAGACTGACGGTGGAGGACAGGCCGTTGCAGAGCTCCTCAGGCCAGGCCTCGTTGCACAGAAGCCCGGAGGGCTCAGTCAGTTGACTGAGTTCACAGTGGAGCTCAAATTGAAACTCTGCTTTGTAGAATCTCAGTCTGATTGAGTCATCTGCTTCAGCTTCCATAACACGAACGTGAGCGAGGTGCTGCTACTCCCACCAAGCAGAGAGGTGTGAGTCCCCGAGGACTAACCGCGTCCACGGCTGGGCTGCCGATGGCAAGCTTTGCAGCACACTGTCCCTGACGGCAGCCGGTCTCTCCACCTCCCCAGCCCTTTAGCTCCCCTGGAGATCCTCAGCTCAGCGTCCATGTGGCTGGAGTGTTTGCAGGGAGGCAGGGGGCAGGGCCTTGAACCACAGATAACCACCGATTTTCTAGATGAAAGTTGGTCCTTGTTTTTTCTGGGGAAAGAGCCCAACTGTCTGCGATCCCTCACAGGTTCTGCTCCCTTGGCACCTGCTGTCTCCATCAGAACCAGATTGCGTTTCTAACAGGAGCTTAGCTCTTGTCTCCTCATTGCCCTTGTCAAGCTTCTCATGGGGAGTTGAGAAGCGTTTCACAGGACATCAGAGCCAGAGCTGGTGTGGGCTGTTACGCCGTTCCCTGTTCATAGGGCCGCATACAGGGGGTACTCAGCCTGAGGGAGCGCTATTAAATGACTCACTGAATTTCTGGATTCTTCATCCTTTCCTGTTGGGTTCACTGTTTGTGGCTGCTGAGCAGACTCTGTCTTTCAGGGCAGAAGGATCAACGTGTACAAGAATCACAAGTCAAAGGCAGCAAGCGACTCCGTGAGCCCCTGGTGGAAGGGGATGAGAATGCAGAGCCATGTGCAAAGCATGTGAAACAGAGCACGGAGGCAGCCCCGCCAGCTGGCAAGGACTCCTTCTCTTACATGGGTGCGTCTTCTTGGTTTTTTTATTTTGAATATATGATGAAACTATCTCTGTAAAAACTTTTCTCACTTTTCTAATGGGAGAGATTAGAGTTGATATTGAACATCCTCATTCTTATCTGAAAAGGCATCTTATTTGAAAATCTCTAAGATTACTATTTTATAATTGATCAAATGGTGCAGAATTGTGGACATCGTAGGAAAACCATTCCATGGGCTACAAAAGGAAGACACTAATCTTGTGAAAGAGCAGTGTTCCCTCGGACACAGCATTTCAGGGCACTGAGAGGAAACGCGGACCTCAGCATCCTCAGAAGAGACCAGCCCTGGACGACACATCAGACCCAGCTGGCGCAGCCGCGTCACCTTTCGAGGCCGTGTTGGCACAGCACAGGTGGTCCGCATCCTGAGGGGCGAGGCGGTCATGGCCTGTCCTCCACTGTGACTCTGGGAGCCCTGTTTATAGTTACTGACCTACAGTATGAGTCTCCTTTTTGCCTTTTACACATATAAGCAGAAAATAGGAAGTAGTAGCATTTTAAAATATAAATCAGTATGTTTGTAGGTCCCACGTTTTCCCCCAAGAAGAGCCATTTTGTAATTTATTCAAGGGAAGCCAGTAGGAAGAGTTATGTCAAGCTGTGTAAACCAGTTTTGCAGTTACGTTTAAAAACCCAAATGCCCTTGATTTGTTATTACCGATATCAATGGAAACAGATGCCTGTGGGGTGGTTGGGAGATGGGCCATTCCCAGTGTGAGGCGGCTGCGTGAAGCGGGGGCAGCGACCGCAGGGCCCCACAGGACCGCCGTGACGGGGAAGGAAGGCTGCAGCCCGTAGGTCACAGCTGGCGCTGCCGCACGCGTGCTGTCTGTCACAGACCCCGAGGCCCGCCCCGCCGGGAGCCGCCACCTCCTTCCCTCTCGCCTGGCCCTGGGCCTCCGCCCTGCACAGTCTGCACCTTCGGCAGACGCCTCAGGCATGTGGCCTCTGCGCCCACCACGTGCGCTGTGACACCGGCCGTCCTGACTTCTCCCCTTGCCTGCGGCTGGTCGTCAGCGGCCTAAGAGTGGCCTCATCTGAGCCCTTTTCTGCCTGGTTCATCACAGCACCGGTGTGTTGAGCAGACCCTCTGTCGTAATGGAAGGAAGCAAAGGTGTGGCGCCATAGTTTACTCGCGGCAACTACACTGAGGAAAAAACAGACCGCTGTTTGTCGGGGACTCGATCTTCCGGCTGGCAGGTCCTTGTTGTGCCAAGGCGCTGCCTGTCTGGAAGGACTCTCCCGGGAGTACGTGAACGGGGACAGTGGCATTGTTCTTGACCCCTGCAGTGAGGATGCGAGCAGCCATTCTCGCTGCACCGCGGCGTTCTAGGTTTATGAAGTGACGCCGTCCCCTGCGACGTGCCTGGCATTTGGGCCAAAACATAGGTGGCGTCTTGGCAGAAGTGTCACGTGCCCCCATGTAGGAAACTGATACTGTTTCTTTAGACACAAAACTACTGCAGAATTGTAAACAACACTCAGTTTAAAACACTAATGCAACCTGAGTACACATCTAGGTGAATCCCTTTTTAGTGAGTTGGACCACTGGCACTCACCAGTCTCCGTCTTACAGGAGAATATGTCGTCGTCTACACTGACGGCTGCTGCTGCAGTAACGGGCGGAGGAGGGCGCGAGCAGGAATCGGTGTTTACTGGGGCCCCGGCCATCCTCTGTAAGTATACAAAAGCCAAGGTTTGTAAGCTTCACGTTTACCAGGTCGCGTTCCAAAACTTGTGAGAGTGAGGCGGGACCTGCGTATTATTTACTTGACAAACAGCCTTGGCAGGGGACAGCAGGACAGGCTCCAATTCATGGTGACACTGACAGCTTTGCTCTTCAGAACATAAGTACCTTAGCATTGCTCTCCTCACCCTAAATCGTGGCACGTCTGTGTCTTGCCTGTAAGATGTTACATCAGAATGACCTCACTGCCCACCCCCACCGCCCCCCAAAGAATCACAGGTCTCCCTGGGGGATGGTTTTGGCAAGGATGCAAGGGGGCAGGTCACGGGACTTAGAACCCCTCGTCTCACCAACCCTTGTGAAGATGTGAGAGCTTCGAGGCGAACCTTTGTGTCTCACAAAGTCAAGGTGATGTGAAGTGGGACCGTGCAGATACACGGGGCCCCTGAATGTGCAAGAGCCTGCTTCCGGTCCGGTTCCCCCACAACACCCTACGTGGTGCGCTCCAATAAAACACTTAGTGCTGTTGGTTGGGTTTCTACAGGCTGTTTTCATGTGATCCTTTTATAGTTCAAATAAAAATGCATAGAGGCCTGTTCTCTATTAATAGGCTTAAGGAGTCACTTTGGAATTAGCTTCATGACATGATTTTCTTTTGTTTTGAACCAGAAACGTAGGTATTAGACTTCCTGGGCGACAAACCAACCAAAGAGCAGAAATTCATGTAAGTTATCAGATAATTTTTCTACTAAAAGCAAGTTTATCATTCTTTGGCATTAACCATGAACTTATTAGTGAGCTTTTAACTATCTATGAGTGTGAATAAGATATTCAAAGTCCAGAAGAAACGTAGTTTGGGGTTAATAACAATTCTGAAGGATAGGAATTGTCTAGAAAAATTATGAAACTTATTTCAAATAGATGTCTAAACAGAATTGTACCTGTAGCATTATTTCACATAAAGAATATGTCATTTGGGGCCGGCCGAGTGGCTCGTTGGTTAAGAGTTTGCTTGGGAGCACAAGATCTGAGCAGCAGGGCCCCAGTTCAGATCCCACATGGGCCAGTGACACTGCCCTCTACAGCTAAGATGGTGAACAACAGCTCGACCTGGAGCTAGGCTGCCGTGAGTCGCCGGTGACGGCGTAGGCTGCAGTGGGGCTACAGTGAGTGGCCGACAGCTGGCATAATCTGCCGTTAGCCGCCGTCCAATGGTCGGTGAGCAACTGCCTCATCCGGGAAGAGCGCATTGATAATACCAACATGGGCCAGTGAAGCGACATCCTCCTCAACTAGACTGAAGAACAGAAAAACAGCAACTCGTCTGTTCCCCTTTCCCAATTTCCCAACGCTGTACCTCTCCCCCAACTCCCCAATCTTTAAAAAAAAAGAAAATATTAGCACAGAAAAAGAAGGAATGTTCAAATTTTGAAGTGATTTTGAACATCAGTACTGTCGAAAGTTGACCAGTTAGCATGACAACGGGTTTATTTCTTCAAGGCAGCCTGCAAAGCCATCGAACAAGCAAGGGCTCAAAACATCAAGAAGCTGGTTCTATACACGGACAGTATGTTTACCATCAACGGTAAGCACTCACGTTTCACTTCTAGTGTTTGTCTAGTAAATTTGCAGGGAATTTCCTTTCCAGCAGGAGGTATTGTATCCGGGTGGGACCCACATGTAAATGGGGACACATTTGGTTTGTCCGGTAGAAAGGAAAAGGTGCGGATTTGGGGTTCCCAGGCCTGCTGTCCCCGTATTTGCCACATAGGTATTTCTTTGTTGGCACTGAATAGTTGGCAGTAAGGTGGGTAGGTCCCTGCACTTGGAGTCTGTTAGTAAGTGAAGGTGGCATGCTGATGGCTTCTTTGGGAAACGCCATGGGTAGGAGCACAGGGAGGGGTGCTGAAGGCTGGGGGCTTCCTGGAGGAGGTGACGTCTTAGTCTGAGAGCTGTAGGCCGAGTCCAAGTTAGAGTAAAGGGACGAGAAAGGGTATGTTTCAGGCCTGTGCACAGCCCAGGAAAGAAATATAAAAAAAAGTGCAGCATGCTACTCAGAACACGAGTGGGGGTGAGTGTGAGGGAAGTCCTGGGGGGAAGAATACCAGAGTGTCCGCGGTTAACCAGGGCGTGAGTGTGTTTCTTCTAGGGATCACCAACTGGGTTCAAGGTTGGAAGAAGAATGGGTGGAGAACAAGCGCCGGGAAGGAGGTGATCAACAAAGAGGACTTCGTGGGGCTGGAGAAACTTGTCCAGGGCATGGACATCCAGTGGGTGAGTGTCTCCCGTGGGCCCAGCGTGTTGGCTAACCGGGGAGCTGGGTGATCCTGTCAGTGACCTGATGACTTCAGTGAATTACAGTTTTCGTGCAACTAGCATCATGAGTGCGCTAGGACACATTTGATTGTTTTGATCCTGTAACAAGACGGTACCCTGTACGGTGCGCACTGCTCTGTGTTCTTTCCGCGGTCCTCGCCAGGGCACACCTCGTCACTGGCAAAGTGACGTGGAGAGTCAGCCTATTGTTTCTGCAGAAGCAGCCAGAACCTTAGATAAAGCTGATTTATAATGTATTTTGTTGAAGACACAGTTAGTAACGTGACTGGCTTTCCAAAATGGAGGTGTTTTTCGTATAATGGATCATTTTTGCTAAAATTATTTTTTCAAACAATACAGAGCAGGATGACCTGCACCCATTTTCTTAAGCCTCCCTGCTCCCCACCTCAGGACCACAGTTTGCTCACCTGACACGTAAGCCTGCCTTTCAGCCACGCAAATGTACACAAACAAGCGCAGCCCCCCTTTTTAACAGTATTTACAGAGAGTAGTGTGTGTGTGTCTGCACACACCCACCCACCCATCCATCCATCCGCACATGACATGCCAACATGAGTGGGGAAAGCCGCACAAACAGGAAGACCCGCTCGCGTTGACTTGAAGCGGGTTTTGAGCGTGTCCGGTGGGAAGAGGCACTGCGGGCGGAGCGCCGGGGGAGGGCTGGGGAGCGCGCTTCTCCCCGCAGCCCGCCGTGTAGGTGACTTTACCGTGATGATGTGAAAGTAAAGTGAAAACCTCTGTTTCCCAGATGCATGTTCCTGGCCATTCGGGATTTGTAGGCAACGAGGAAGCTGACAGGCTGGCGAGAGAAGGAGCCAGGCAACCGGAAGACTGAACGACGTTGCCATCACTCTGGGACACACTGGAGCCGTTGGCCTTTTGTGACGTCACTTACTGGTGTGAACAATTAAACTGCAAGAGGACCGTTGCTGTACAAGGAGAGAGACGCTTTCAAACTGACTCAGAAAAGCAAGATGGCATTCTGATAAAAGCGCTTAAATGTCCTTTGAGGTCTGAGGATTATTTGAGATTTCAGCATTTCGCTTTATTGGGCTTGATACTGTTCTCATTATTTCATTGCGGTCTGGACGAAGGTTTAGGACTTTGATTTGATTTAATCAGCATGAATAAATGGTCGGTGCAGCAGTACAGACAGGAAGTCCAGAAGTGTTCTGAGAGCCCACTGCCCCCCACGTGGCAGGATTGAGTATCGGGGTTGCAGGCTGACTAGCGCCTCCACGCGGATCCCAGAAGGCACTGCTCCCCTCCCTGCTGAGGCCGCTGAGCCAACCCGAAGTGATAGTGGGAAGGTTTCTACCTGGCTGGGCCCCGGGTACCGGGGGACCTACACATGAGTAGCCCTGGCCACTTGACTGTTCTGTGGGAGCAGGCACAGCTCTTAGAGGCCAAGGTACACAAATGAAGCTTAACATTTTCTTTGGCTGTTGTTGTTAAAAGCTCTGTGCAAGTTAAAAAATAATGTTCAGGGGCCGGCCGAGTGGCGCATTGGTTAAGAGTTGGCTTGTGGCGCCAGCTCTGAGCAGCAGGGCGCCGGTTCAGATCCCACATGAGGGCCAGTGACACTGCCCTCTACAGCTCAGATGGTGAACAACAGCTCAACCTGGAGCTGGGCTGCCGTGAGTCGCCGGTGATGGCGTAGGCTGCAGTGGGGCTGGATGGCAGCGGGCAAGAGCTTTCATGAGCTGCCGTGAGCGGCCGTCCAATGGCCGGCAAGCGACTGCCTCACCCAGGAAGAGTGCAATGATAATACCAACATGGGCCAGTGAAGCGACGTCCTCCACAACTAGACTGAAGAACAAAAGGACAGCAACTTGTCTGTTCCCCTTCCCCCATTCCCCCAGTGCTGTTCCCCTCCCCCAATTCCCCAATAAAATCTTTTTAAAAAAAGAAAAGAGTAAAGAGATACTAAGTTAGAACTAAGAAAAAAAAAAGACAAGACTAAAGAGCCATAAAGAATCAAAGGAAGTCATTTCTGTAATAGGATTGGTTTTTGAGGGAGGGACACTTGGGGACCCTTTGGGATGTCTGGCAAAGTTCTGTTTCTTGACCTGGGTGGAAGTTATAGGGGTACCCACTTTGTGATAATAATTCAATAAGTTATGTATTTGTGTCATTTTGTTTCTATGATAAAAGGGTAATAAAACTAAAGATACAAATACATGACCATGTCAAACTTTTTTTGTTGTTTTTTTAAAGATTTTATTGGGGAATTGGGGGAGGGGAACAGACAAGTTGCTATCGTTTTGTTCTTCAGTCTAGTTGTGGAAGACGTCGCTTCACTTGCCCATGTTGATATTGTGATCATTGCGCTCTTCCCGGGTGAGGCAAATTGGTCACCAGCCATTGGACGGCAGCTCTTGGCAGCTCACGCTGGCTGCCGGCCACTCACAGTAGCTTATGGCAACCCACTGCAGCAGGGGCTGCAGCCTACGCCATCACCAGCGACTCACGGCAGCCCAGCTCCAGGTCGAGCTGTTGTTCACCATCTTAGCTATAGAGGGCGCAGTGTCACTGGCCCTCATGTGGGATCCGAACCGGGGCCCTGCTGCTCAGAGCCTGCGTCCCAAGCCAGCTCTTAACCGACGCTCCCCTCGGCCGGCCTGAGTTGGACTTCTTGTGTAACCAAACTGGTTGGTCAGCTCAGGATTTTCAGGACGGGTCTTCTTTGTTTTTTATGTAACACCAGTGCTAGGGGTGGGAAGCAGGAACATGAGAACACCAAACAACTGAAATAAACTTAGGGCTCAGTCTCCTTAGCACAAAACCACAACAGTGTATAAACAACAGGTATTGAACTTTGAACCATAAGGATAGTTTTTCAGAAAGCCAGTCTCTCTCTGATGAAGAGCAAACTTGTACCAACATGACAGAGTCCCACCAGGTGAGTGTGTGCTGGGAATGTCCGTTGCCTCATCCGAGCCTTTTTCAATCATGAGTTTCACACACACGGGCTCCAGTGGTCCCCAGTCACTCCTGCAGGGCCCGGGGGGCCTGGTCTCACGTGGGAGCCAGCGCAGCCCCTCCCCCACTGCAGCCTGCCTTTTCTGCCCCTGATGGGTGGATCTTCACGTCCGCTGAGCCTGCACGGTTTCTGCTGTCTCAGACCTTTCAGATGCATGCAGTTTATCAACTCAGTCAACAAATCCTCACTGGGTGCCTGCTCTGTGCGTGGCCGCTCTAGGCCCTGCACATGCAGCAGTGAGCAGACGGGAGGAAAACAGACAAGCAACATATGTAGGTCAGACGGTGGCAAGCGCTGGGAGGAAGAAAGGGCCTGCCACACGTGTGTGTTGGGGAGGTGGCAGGGGGAGGTGACGGGGGAACAGGGAAGAGGAACTGTGGCCAGAAAAGCTCGGTGTTGAGTGACATTAGAGCAGACATGGGAAGGAAAGACCCACCGAAACAGGATGATGGGAGATCGCCGTTTTGCAGCCCAACTAATTAATGGATCTATGCACTGAGCACCAGCAGCTGCCAACATCAGAAAAGATGAAAACCAGCCATGCCTTCTGATGAAAGCACACAGCCACCTATTGTCTTTCCAAACAAACAGAACCTCATTCTGATCAAGCCTCTGGATCCAGTTGCTAATTTGCAGGAAATAGAACACAAGAAAATGGCAGACTGCACCATGAGCACATAAACAGCAAAATGGACAGTGTGGACAACCATAGGACAAACTGTACAGGGAAAGCAGGATGGAGGGGGGCCTGTAAATTAAAGCAACTTAAGAGTAAAGAGAGGGCCGGCCGAGTGG